CTTTTAATGTAATGTGGTGAAGAAACTTTATAATTGTCAACACAACCATAGCTGTGTGATAATCTTTCTACACATTGGAGTATTAATAATTCAATAATTACACCCAGTGCTCCTCACATTGCAATCCGAACTAGAGTAGCTGAAAATAGCCAGTAAACATAGAATCGCAACCTAAACGGTCACTTTTGCAATCACAGTGTTTTGAATGCGGATTTTATGCACATGTATATCGAGTTAGACGCTGAATGGTGACGCGCCCATCATCAATAGAATGTAGTCTTTTGCTTGACATTTTAATAAGCGTTAATACGCTCCTTCACACCACCACCAGGCATTAATAAGCGCATGTAATTGCAAATAGTTAATAGGCAAGTAAAAGAAAAAGCCAAAATTTGGAAATATTCACATCAGTAAAAGGTGTAACAAGGATTGGCATGGTGCAATCAGATCCTAAAAATGCCCACAAAGGTAAGTATCTGCACTTACGATGCATTCGAGTTCGACAGCTTGTCTGTTCCCACAAGGCTTCTGCTTCACCTCTTTGCCGATCAAGGGAGGTCTCGTAGATGGGCCGTACCTCAATGTCGAAGATGGCATTTGGTTCAAGTTTGTCGATAGTATGCACCAGCAATGAATCCTGATCTCTGGGCAGAAAGTCATTTGGCATGCGACCACCAAAAGTAGACTGTTGATTTGAGCTGACAATGAGTTTTCTCGGGCCTAAGGTTAGTCTTACAGGATCGTTTAGTTCATTAATGAACGATTTGATACCACTGATTTGAATCTACAAGGAATGAAATAATGGGTCAGAATAATTACTCAACAAGGTTACAAGCCACCACCGCAGGCTCAGTTAAGGATCGCAAAACGTATAACAAATCTTCGAAAATTTGAATACACACACTAAACAGATGCTTACGCACGAAATTCACTCATTTCGAAATGCAAAACTCCAGAAATAAACATCATAAATCAGATTAATTTAATAACTTCTTGCGGATTTCACAAATATGCTGAAAGATCTGGTTATGAACCATAACATAATTTTACCTGCAGCCAGACAATATTTGTAGTCAATTTTATTAACTGGTGGATACCTCGTGCTAGGGTAAATGTGCAGCCGAAAAATGCAAGAGATGTTTGAATGCAACCTACGAGATTTTCGAGTAGTTTCCAAGCTACCAACTCCACAATTCTCGATTGCAAAGTTGATTGTCAAGGAAATGTTTTAGAATATTGTCGAACGTGCTTCTGCCTTATCTTTTATTCAAGCGGTATTAAAATTGGGATGCATGCGTGAACATATGCACGTACGTCACTTCAAAGTTTTATATCGCCTATTAATAAGTTCCATTGAGCATCATGGGACAGCCTTACTAGAACATTTCTTGAATACCTCATACTCCTTCAACACGCGTCGATCGGGAGGCGGTAACCAGGTGACCTTCACACTGGCCTCGGTGGGATTGGTAACCTCCAGCGACTTAATCCCAAAACATCGCAAGTCAGTTACGCGACGAGGATGATATACACTATCCCGACTTGCGCTCACTATTACTGGGTCACTCCAGTTGCCAAATCGTTTATCTGTCCCGCGCGATTGAATTTTGATGCTGTAACTCTCTGCAGGCGACACGTCATCCAAAGTAGCCATCGTCACCGCACCCACTTCAAGGATGCGCTTGCTGGAAGATTCCATAACATTATCATTTGCTGCATAGTAAATTCGAAAACCCGTCACCGGCATGGGCCGCTGCTGAAAGTTGTTATTTATTCGGTATGTCGAACGACGTGGAAGACTCCAGGTTACCTTGATCTGTCGGTGATTGATCCTCTCAGCCTTAATATGTGATGGAGGATCTGGGACTAAAGTAAAATTTGTTATGTCACTAGGTTAGGCATGCCTTTTACTACCTTTATGATCAGCATAACAAGCACGAAATGCAAACACATTAAAAACCTTTTGGGCATGTGGTGAAAAAGAAAACGTAATTAATTTCATTTTAAAGTACTTAGGGTGAAATATATGCAATGGGTAGAGTCCACTAAGAGGATCCTCTTGATCAGTTGTGCGGCTTAACTTACCATCAGCTGTAGTTCGGATAGTGCTTGAGGCTGACCAGGGCCCCGGACCCGAACTGGTAAAGGCCCTCACGCGAAAAGTATACACTGTTCGCTCCTGCAGACCATCAATTCTGAGGAAAGGCTGTGTGGTATTTTGGTAATTTGCTGTGTTTTGCGGTGAACTGAATTCGTAGTAATGCACCTAAATGAGCAAAATTCCAAGTCGATTTAGCCTAGGCACTGACCCCTGTACCGCCCTTAAGTGAAGCATCAAACTTCCGTTTGAGCACAATCCTTGTAAAATTGGGAACTTGGTCTCTCGATTGGGTTTGTATTAACAGAGCGTAGACCGTAAAGTTGTCGCAGTATCAATAAAACAGTCACTGGAGCACTAAATTTCATAAGTGTCCAGTAGCTAAGAGCAGCTGTCTGACATCCATACTTGGGAGTTGATCAAGGTTTTATGACTATATTTACGCGGACACCCACAATATGCATTGTAGTACTTTGTTCTGCGACATCTCAACGCATAGCGATTGCCCCTTGTAAGCTAAGTCTGATAGAAATCGACGCTAAGGGCCACTTACTTCGCCACCCCACAAAATACGCGTGTTCTACCCAACTTTATGCCTTCTTCTTCCTCGAGTAAATCATTAAGACTCTACAGGTGTATCTCACACCCTTTTGCGTCACATTTTTATTCAAAAAGTTCTCTAATGGACAAATATTTTCGTCTCAAATATATTTTGTAAATTGGTTCAGCGAAATTCATTTGACAGGACAAACTCAGTATACAAATGTAGTCTATACTTGCAATGGTAGGCTCATTAATCTATCCTCTAGCACCTGTCCACTCTTTAACCAATGTTAACATGCCATATTCGTTCGGTTAATTTCCCTAGTTTACACGTTCAAATTTTGCATCCTCCTCTATAAAAGGATAAGGCAGCAATAATATTCACTTTTAGTGATAAATGTGTGGCTATTTAAGGGTGTTGTTTTAACGGGCCACACCAACGTCTCCTTTTTTAATCATGCGCAACAGATCATTATTGAAACGGTCCATTAAGTAATTTTTTCAACTTTTAGTTTTGTGCTGAATAGGTCAGAATACTTAAATATATTTCAAAATTAGGTGGAGTTTTGTTGATGGAATACGGTTCACAGGACCCCAAACTTCGGTTTTATTATAAACGTATCATCAAGCTAAATTGGGCCTCACTAGCTTACTAAACATCGAAAGGACATCTCTGTGGAAAATTCCATAAATAATGAAACAGTGGATTTTGGAACTGGTTCTATTTTTATTTACTATGCCTCTTTGGAATACTTACTTGGTAACCGATGATGATTCCATTCCTTGTTTCCTTTGGTGGAGGAGACCACGAGAGCTCAACGGAATTGGTAGACAGCCCTCTAACGCGCAAATGCAGTGGAAAACTACCCGGGACTGTTATGGGTTTGTAGAAGGAAGAGATGAGGTATAATTTGAGACCAGGAAATGCGTGTGGTGCTCACACAAAACCCGCCCTCCTAGTAATCCCATTCAGAGGATAAAATACACCACAGTGTTGTATATTGCATGGGACAGAGCACCTGAACGGTGGGCAATACCAAGTTGAACAAATTTCTACAAAAACTAATGAAATCATAGTTTCTCGGGCGCATACTCAATTTGCTTCAGTAGTACACGATTCTCTTTCAATTATGTTGAACTACC